GTCATGTATGTGTCACTAAGTATCCCATTCGTGTTTCGACAAGAAAAGACGCAGAAAAACCTGTAAACGCCCACAAAAAACAAACAATGCTGCCGACGTTGCCATGGCAACGCGAACTCAGATTTGAACCGCTTGTAAACAAACCATTCATTTACAGGGAAATACCCAAAAAATCGAACAAAAACACTTTCCAATGTTTATTTAAATAGTTAAAGTTGCCGATTTTAAGGAAAATCTAAAAACCAATTTTTCAGCAAAATTCAGGTGAAGCCCCACCTTAAAAGCATTAAATTAAATTATTAAATTTTATTAAATTTTTAGCTCCCTTTTAATTTTAAGCCGACACGTACGCTTACCATAATTATTTGTAGATTATGGTCTATTGGCTGATATACGATAATGCCTAAGCCAATAAAAAGTCTTGAATTACATTATCCAATGATCTAGTTTTTAATAAAATACATTATACTTTACGCGTTTCTTCCCATTATTATACTGCCAGTACTACTGGCCCGTCTTGTCTGTTCTGTTTCGCTATGCAAGCCAATTTGGTGTTGATATTCCCGAGGGTTTCCTCGGGTAAACTTTTCACACATATTATTATTCTGGAACAGCAGGCAGAATTCGAACGCTAGCCGCCTTTGATTTAGAGTCAGCATTGCGTGACAGAATAACAGAGAACGCGTTCTGTACAGGAAAAATGACTCTTAAGTTCTGACAATAAATAATCAAATTCTACTGTATTTCGTAGCTAAAATAGATTCTGACGGTCGTTAAGGCCCGGGTCAAACGCTGTACTTCACATGAGCCGAACCTAATTCAACCAATTAGGCTCGTGTGAAGTTCGGCGTTTGACCCGGGCCTAAGCCTTCTCTGCTGGAAAATTCTCGTTAAAAAGTAACCAATTCTTTTGGCGAATGCAGACCGAATAAAGGCCTTAGTAAGGCCCTAAAATATTCCGATCGCTCCTTCGATGAAGATGTCTGTTCCAAATTTTTACTCATCGCATAGAGATACAAATCCAAGAGCCGAAAGCAGTGGTGGCTGAAGAAAGAACAAAAAAACACGCGCGAACTGTCTTAACATATCAAAAGCTAAAATAACAATTAATAGTGCTCAAGGTACGTTTACAATCGTACTTTCAATAAAGGGTCTTCGTTTTCGCGCTACGAAAACGAAGACCCTGCATTAGCCTAGAGAAAACGAAATCTACTGCCTACTTTAGTGTCAGAAGGAGTGCGTGACTAAAGATCGACCTCGTCGACGATGTCACATAATGTAGTGTTTTCACTGCGTCGAGGCTATGAGTCCCGTGGGAATGCCCCGATTTAGTCCCTTGTGAATGAAGAGTCAGACAAGCGAACAATCTTCAAGTGGTCCATCATCTTGCACTCAAAATTTACATCTGGCGTCTACGCGTCGCATTGCTCAAAATCTAGAAGTCAAAAAGGTGATTAATTTAGCTTTGTCGATTTATCGTGCTAGGGCTTTATGACTCTTCGCAATACTAAGTGCGCATTCGACCGTCTTGACACATCGAAGGAAAACACTCTCAAGAGATCAAACCAAGGTCACCATGAATAGATATGAAAGACGAGCGTCGAAACCTGTAGAATTAGCGTCACTATCATGATTAGCTATAGCTCGCTCAATTTTAACTACGAAAAGTGAAACATAAATTAGGCGTGGGCAGCGACCTGATACCAGAAGTTTATATGCTTCTGTTGATACTCAACGTACCTCTTTGTAGACGTAGGATCGTTTAAGACTGCCGGAAAGTGCGAGAAAATCGAGTCTTAGATAAGCTAAAACCGTAGAGCCATACTGCTGAAAATATGATCATACGATTGCTAGACATGTTGATCACTTTGGGGGACATTTAATTAATACCTAAGGGTTGTTTGAATACACAAGTGACATAGGAGTCAGTAGAGCCCTCCAGGCTGTGGGAGATAGCAAAACACGGAGCCCTACTCCATGGAGTAGTCTATGGAGTACCTACATTAGAGTACCCCTAAAAGTCATGAATCGGTCAGATAAAATACTTTATAAACATGGTAAATCATTTAATTGTACATATCTTAATGTATTTGATCTTGCCAGCTGTATGATTGTCACAGTTCGATACAGTCCACGAATTGGCCGCCATATTGAATTTAACATTAAACTGCTGGCCACTTCAAACTGAAGGCTTTTTAAAATGTGGTCCGTGAACGTTTTCTTTGATGGGCCGATTACCATCTCCATCTCATGATCTTCAAAAGGCCAAAAGTATAGGCGGATTCATGCTGACGTCATTGTTTACATTTTTGCTCATTTGCATACGGCTTTTCGTAAAGAAGGAAGCATGTTAGATACAAATTGACTTCAAATATAGATCCAAGTTTATTAGATGAATTGAACTAAGAAAAACAGCTTGACGACCAGAAAATTTTTTCATTTAATGAAGAAAATAGAAACAGCAACACAACAACGCGCCAATTCCGTTCCGCTTCGCATACTTCTGTCACGCACTCCCCGTAAATAAATATCCGCGAAATTCGCCCGCACTGAAATAACAGTTTGGCGTGTTGGATAATAAATAACTTATTAGACGTTTTGTTGTGTAGTATCGCTGAGTATTTTTACTCGTTATTTGTATTTTGACTCGCCCTACGGGCTCGTCAAAATACGGCACAACTCGTAAAAATACTCAGCGATACTACACAACAAAACGTCTAATAAGTTATTTATTATCCAACACGCCAAACTGTTATTTCAGTGCGGGCGAATTTCGCGGATATTTATTTACGGGGAGTGCGTGACAGAAGTATGCGAAGCGGAACGGAATTGGCGCGTTGTTGTGTTGCTGTTTCTATTTTCTTCATTAAATGAAGAAATTTTCTGGTCGTCAAGCTGTTTTTCTTCGTTCGATTCATCTAATGAACTTGGATCTATATTTGCCAGCCATTCTGACTCTTCGTCGTCGGAAATATGATTCAAATTGTCCGCCATTTGTTT